ATGGTAAGCAATCGGCGTCGCCCATGGACACCTGGAACACCAGAGGCGTTACAAGTGCGTTACCGGCCTTTTGGGGATTAGGAGTTTGAGGATCGTTGAGGATTCAGGAATTGGGGAGATTGGGGAAGGGGAGGCTAATTGGGCCTCCGGTAATCTCACTCACACGACGAAACACAACGCAAGCGAGCGAAACCTCCTCAGTCTCCGCAATCCCCGAATCCCCACAATCCTTAAATTCCCAATTACCAATAGACCGGTAACGCGTTTGTAACGCTTCTAGTGTTTCAGATGTCCATGGACAGCGCCGATTGCTTACCGTCAGGTGATCCGTATGCTCGTTTACCGGCTTATCCCTTAAAGTAACGATCTCTGGCCACCTTAAGCGCGGGTCTGCGGACGGCGAGCATGGGAAGCTCGCCGCCCGACCAGAACCAGACTCGAGCGTGAGCCGCGTCGCGTTCCGCTCGCGCCTCAAAGAGCTATCAGACCACCACGGATGGGGCCCAATAGTTCTCAGTCAATAGTCTCACCCCTTATTACATGGAACGTATAACATAAATGGTGGAAAGTGGGTGTACAGTACAACCACTTCCACTGTACACTGTGGACAGTGGCATTACGCGCCATAACATGTCATCTACCCCTTCTATAAAAAGCGTGATGATAAAAAAAAATATATAAGGTTAATTCTAAATAACGTCAAATTATTGTGCAATTCCATGATATAGAATAAAAAATATTGCAATGGTGACTTATGGTAATTACAATAATTATGGTGTTCAATATTAATATCCCATGAGAGTAGTTTATTTTTGGACTATGGGTGACTATGGGTATCGGAGTTTTATTAGAGAGCACTGCACACATTAAATAGCGATCTGACATCTCTGTTTAATGTAGCCCTTGGTCGACTCGTACGGCATCCACAGGAAGACTAACAATAAACAGTAAGGTAACAATTACGTTGTACACTGCCACAGCGCTCAAATAAAGCGGTAAAGATTTTAAAATTTGAATGTATGCTTAAAGCAAAGTATTTCCCTCCACTCACGATTGTCGCCCACAACAGCCGTTCTAAAATCCGCTTGCCTGTTTAGGAAAAGGTGAATGTTGCAAAATGTGTGCCCACAAGTATTATAAAAGTAACTTTAAAACTAAAGCTTTAAAGGTTGACACTTTATAACTAGAACATAAGGTTGCATTTCAAATGATGAATAATTGCGACATTCGACATTTTGTATGTTAGGGCACTATCTTGTTTAGTGTAGAGATACTTACTTAAAAGGAGTGTGTGGGTGCAAGGCTGACCTTATAGGTGCTACCCACAGCCTTCGCTAAACATTTAGAATGATTTCCCTAACATCCCACACTCGATTGCTATTATCACCATAAATGATGTAAAGAACTTTAACCTGATATTAAATCTAGATATATGATTCGTGAATGTTTTACAAAATACTTCTTACTTGCCTTAAGTATAATTAATGGAAGACTTGATAAATATAGGTGCGATAGAAGTGAGTCTTAATAAAGTACTAAGTAATAATCGTCTGTCGAGTGCCAAATCGTCGGTTTATTATTGAATACACACATACAATGTTATATTGAACTTATAATGAGTTAAAGCACATCTATCCTAATATCTTATTTTCGTTACTAACTAGTACCTAATATGAAGATCGGTAGTAATATCAACAAATACAGTTTCACAAGTGTGTGGTAAGGTAACTCTTTATATAGGTATGTACATAGGTATTGTAAATTAAGTAGAAGACTACTAAGACGGAGCCCGCTTCCAAAAGCTTCCGACCACTGTGTCGGTAATTATATTAGTTTCTAGATCATATTTTGCAACGTTTTCACGTTAAGTAGACGTATCTCTAAATATTGAACATATTAGAAAGTAGAACCATCGCTATTGGAGATCTCTACAAATAGTATCTGCTCCCAATAAAACACCTGAAATATCGAAATGATACCTACAATTTTGTTCACTTGAACTAACAGTTTGAAAGAATGGTAAATAATACTTGCTAAATAATTACCTAACAGAGCAATGCTTCATATTGTCTACTGTGTAAAAAATAAAAGCGATGGAACTGCGTATATTATTTATATTCTATTTTATTATGGATAAACTACCGACTCCGGCGCAGTTTCACCCGCTGTGCTCGGCTCCTAATTAACAGACAAACAAACGAACGCACGAACAAACAAACTCTTCAACTTTTTAAAATAGTTTAAGTTTATAAGAGTATCATATAATTATATCGATAAGTTCTAAATACGTTATGTGTATATCATGTACGTCGTCTGCGTTTTAAGAAGAAACTATTATTTCTGGTAAAACAAAAACATCACGACTGTAATTGTAGCATCATAAAAACAAATTTTATTCCATGAGTTCAAGAATTTTCTAGATTTCAAGATGTGTAGGTACCTACCTATCTAAAGGAAGTCGTGTTAGTTACACTACCTATTTATAACTCAAGAACTGCTAGGTACATATTATATCGATTTTGCTGAAAATTGGAGGGGTAGCTTAGAACCACAAGACGAATATAGGATTTTTATATTTTTTATTCAAGACTAGCTGACCCGGCAAACTTCGTACCGCCTAAAAGTTTTTTCTCACCTTTTAAACCTTCCCTAGACTTCCACGAACCTATCAAGACTAAAATTAGCCAAATCAGTTCAGCCGTTCTCGAGTTTAGCGAGACTAACGAACAGAAATTCATTTTTATTTATATAGATTTCCCGAACGGGAACGGGAAAAACAGAACTGCGCGAATGAAGTCGCGGGCAGAAGCTAGTTTTCAATAAAATTGTCATTTTTTATTTCAATATCTGATTAATTCTACTCTAAGTCATAAAAAATTGTTTTTATTGTTTGTGATGTTAGAAATACAGTTTTACCAATATCCCTTATGTAGATTTATTACCTACAAAATATTATGTACCTACTTATACTATTTATAAGCGAATTTCATGAATCATTAATCTAAAAATCCCATGTAAAGCTCATTTCAAAGAAGTGCTGCTTTGCGTTATAGTACCTAATAGTCAATTGTAAAATATCTAAAGGTGGGATTTTGTATTGAGCCCATAGACCTAGGCTAAGTGCAACTTAAAGTTTTATCGTACCGTCGTCTTACTGTGTATTTTAAAGCATAAAATTAATGTTAGTGCTATTTCGCCTACACGGGAAATACAAATATTATGACACATAATGTACTCCTAATATTGACTGTGTCCTTAAATGTGGACGCTAATATCTATCTACCGTTTTACGACCCGGATAGTGACTGTAATTGATAAATAATATTTTTAATTTTGCAAAGGTTAGATACTGTAATAGTTGAATATTTACTAGTATTACTTTTACTAGTAAACGGTTCCAAGGCGGTGGTTTACCACGTTCAAGTATGGTATGGCCCCCATTG